GGCAGGCGGACTCCCAACCACTGCGCCACCAGGGAAGGCCCTGGTTCACATTTTTTAAGCTCATCTGGGCCAGAAGAGGGAAGAGGTAGTGGTGTGGCCCACTCTGAGATGAAGGAAAACTGACCACGATCATGAAGGGGACATGAACATTCTATGTGAGGGCTGACAGATCGAGAAGATCAGTGCAAAAGGATCAAGATAGAACTCTGCGAATTACACATGGGCAGAATAGGCCCGCCTACCCCGTGGGCACTGAAAAGCCAGTCTTCCCAATGGCCTTCCCAGAATCTGAAATTCTCTTCATTAATAGCCTACATAAAGGGTGGTAATCATGCCATAACTATAGTTAAAGCGTTATGTAACCTAAGAGGGGTAACATTTCCTAGAAGACACATTAGCAGTTCATCTGAGTAAATCATCAGTCACTCTTGTCACCTCGTAGAAAAAGCACTGAAGGGGTGAGACACAGGACAGGTCTACCTTGATGGGGCCTGGGTATACTAAGAAGCCCCTGGGCAGCTATGGTGGAAGTACAGGAGCACTTGGGTGATTTGGGGGGTGGGCTGGAAGGGTTGCTGATGGAGAGTTAGACAACTTTCACCTCTTTCCTTCCCACGTTTTTCTTAGTTTCCTGCTCGTGATAGACATAGAGAATATGCAGATGTCTCAAATAAATTCTTCCCTTTCTTATTCTTCTCCTGCTGAGCCACTGGACTTTCAAGGGCTTCTAGAGATTTCAGAGATCGTTGGTTTTCTTTTTGTCCTCTAGAGCCTAACTATACATTGCATTTCCAACCCTACAAGCTGCAGCAAGGGACCATGGGGCTATTGAAATTTCTTTCTCTTTTTCTCATTGCAGTCTGCTCCCAGTTCTCAAGAGGGGTGTATGCCATCTTTGGATTCTATGACCAGATGTCAATGAACACTCTGACCTCCTTCTGTGGAGCTCTGCACACATCCTTTGTCACACCCAGCTTCCCCACTGATGCAGATGTGCAGTTTGTCATCCAGATGCGCCCGGCCTTGAAGGGCGCTATTCTGAGTCTTTTGGGTCACTACAAGTGGGAGAAGTTTGTGTACCTTTACGACACAGAAAGAGGTAAGAAGAGGCATGCGCTCTCCTCTTTGAATATTCATGTAACAGTGGTGTTCAACCTTCCTCAACTCAGGCTTGTCCCCTTCTCTTCCAATAAATCTCATATCCTTTTAAAATTGTAATTAATATTCAAAATGAATTTAAGAGTGAGGCCAAAAAAGAATCAAAACAATAGCAATTTTAGAATCTAGTTTTTCAAATTGTACATGTCCTCCCACCCCCAACTTTGAAAAGGGGTTTCGGATTATCCTCCTGGTTGAACCACTGTTGTTGAAAAAGAACGCTTCCCCCTCCCCAAACTAAGTTATCTGGTTTACATACAGAAATTAAAAGCAGCTTAGTCTAGAACAGAGAGAGGCCTAAGCTGGAAAGGTTTTGGAGAATTAATCCTGCCAGAGACTATCATTATCCTTATTTCATAGGTGAGAAAACTGAAGCCCAAAGAGGAAAAGTGCTTTTTCACACAGTAGCTTAACCACAGAGCTGGGACTGGTGGCGATGTCTCTGGCTTCCAGATCACATTAGGTGTTCAGATTACGGGGCTTCAGCAATTATCTGATGGAAATAATGAATGGAGGCTGGCTAAACCAGGTTTTGGGGGTAGATAGTTTTTCTAATGGTAAGACACATTATATTGACTCTACTGAGGACAATTATATTGAAACAGTCTCAAAAATTAGGGGTCTGATCTTAAATAGTATACAGGTAGGTGTACACATCATAATGCAGCTAAACAGACTCCTCTAAAACCCCGTTATCTTTGAGGGCTTCTTCAGTAAAACCAAGGGATCCTATCACCATGAGATTCCAAAAGATAACGTTACTTTATCACTTGTTTGCTTGTAATCCAGGTTATACACAGGGAATGGCTCTCTCTGACTCAGGACTTCCTGACTCAGAGAAAGAAGGCGCAAATGGAAGGCCTATCTGCCTGAGGGGGTCCCTGGAAATGACATTCTTACAGGTATCTTAACTCGAAGGGCCATTTTGTTCTTAGGAATCCAGAGTACCCTTCAATTCACTCTCATTTTGATTCACCATCAAACCCTGTCAGGAAACACTAAGGCCTGTATTTGCTGATGGTACTTACCTCCAGAATATTATCAAATTTCATGAACCTGAAGCAGGAGAGCAGAGTTCTAGTCCATGCTCCGCCACTAACTAGCTCTCTGACCTTGACCAACTCATTCAATCTCTTTTGGCCTTGATCTCCTCACCAAAGCTACGTCCCTTCTTAATGTAATAGTCTATGATTTTTAAATATTATACTAGACATAGTATAGACTTTGTATCTTATTACTAATCCTAACTTACATCGTATCAGTTAATTAGTCAACCAATCTACAAGCTGTTATCAATCCTCAATGGTTTATTTAAATCTTGTGATACATGCTTATATAATACTGTTCCAGTAGGGGTAGACTGTAAAGGACATTCATGAAACAATTCATGAACAACTTTCAGAGCAAAGTATCAAACTCAGTATCAAATTGAGTGCTACACTACAGATTCTGATTGCTATGAGAATTGTGAAAAGGTAGCACTCCAAGAAATAGAGTTTCTGAAGGCTGGCTAGAGGAGCCAGGCCTTAAAGGATGTATAAGCTGTGGATTGGAAGAGAAAAAGGAAATGGACTTTGGGGAAGAGGAAGGGAACATGAACAAAGGGCAGAATCAGGAAGGAGTGCTGTGTGTTCCTACAGATCTTTGCCTGACTAGAGTACCAAAAGAGTTTGAACGTTCTAATTCACAGTTTGCTAAATTTTAATGCATTTCGTTTCTTTCCGCCACTGAGGATGAATTAGCCTATTTCCATGTACTATATACAGTGTAGTCTGGTGCATAAAAATCTAATTTTCAGAACTGAAGTTTGTAAATTAGACAGCTTCTCTCCTGAAACTTTTTTAAAACTAAATATCAGTTCTGCTAATGCTGTAGCCTCTCATTTATTGAAAAGCAGGAGACACAAGTTAATGTATTCTCTCCTCGTCTCCCATGACCCTCCTTTGCCCCTTAGCTCTCTTTTAGACGAAAGGAAGCAAAAATCCATCTCTGCCTGTTTCTTAACCTGCAGTTTTTCTCCAATCATCTCACTAAATAGTTTGTTCAATTCTATGGTCCTAGAGCCAAAAGAAACCTTTCTGACTTGTGTGTGTTCATATTTTTTCCTCCATAGCCATTTAGCTGGTGGGATTAATCTGCTCTGTTTAAGAAGTACTTTCTATAAAGTTTTATGCTAATTTCCTCCTTGGAAGGCCTTCTTAAAACACTGCATATTATGACCCTGTTCCAAAAGCTTCAATGGTTTCTATTGCCCACATTGAAAAATAAAAGCAGTCTATTTCTTAAGACTCGACATAATTATGCATCAACCAACCAATGAACCTGTTGTCTTAACATTATGTTACTAATGAGAACCTTCCACTGCAGGCAGCTCCCATTTTCCACTGTTGCCCAAATGTGCCAGAACCATACTTGCCTCAGCAACTGCACTTCTACTACCTGGAATTCTTTCCATCTTGATTATGAAAATCCTTCCTGCCTATCCTTCCATTTTTCAAAACCCACTTCAAACTCTACCTCTCCAAGGTAGCTTTCCCTGACCACTCCAGTGCACAATGATTCATTCATTCATTCATTCAATAGGTGGCAAGGTTAAAATGATGAACAAGATAGACATGTCTCCTGCTGTTATAAAGCTTACATTCTAATAAGGGAGATAGAAAAAAAAATAAGCCAACAAATAAAATAATTATATATTTAGGTAAGGTGCTATGAAAGAAACGAAGAGACAGACACTAATGGATAGAACCTAATTTTAAAAGGATTCTCAGGGACAGCCTCATTGAGAAGGGGCATTTAAGCTGAGAACTAAAGAAGTAGAAGGAGACAGCCACGTGAAGAATAGAGAGAAAGAGTTTTCAAGCAGTGGAAATAGCAAGTGCAAAGGCCCTGCGGCAGGGAAGAGCTTGGTACGTTTGAGGAACCGAAAGAAGACGAGCGTGGCTAAAGGGTAGTGAGGAGGTTGAGAGTGGCCTAAGATGAGACTATAAAGGTAAACAGAAGCCAGATCATAGCCATGGAGTACAGACAGGAGCCGAGATAAGGAATATGAATTTTATTCTAACTGCAATGTGAAGTCATGGGAGGATTCTGAGCAGGGGAGTCACATGATCTCATTTAAGTTTCTGTAGAGAATGGAGTGTGGTGCAAGAGTGAAGGAAAGGAGATGAATTAAAAGGCCATTGTGGTCATCCAGGCGAGAAATGATGGCAGCTTAGACTAGACTGGAGATAGAGAAAAGCAGACAGAGTTGAAGTGAATTTTGGACACAGAATCAACAGAACTTGGTGACAGATTGACTGTGGCACGTGAGGGAAAGAAAGGATTCGTGGGTGACTACTAAGCTTTTGGCTTGAGAGACTGGGTAAGGTAGCGATGCTACTTACTGCGGTGACTGAGGGCAGGAGGTGAAGCAGAGTCTAAAGGAGCAGAGACCTTGCCCACCTCTGAATGCCCACAGAACCCTTTTGTCCATATCATTCACTTGGCACTTACCTGCTTTCTGTTGTTATCTCACTGGGTCTGCTATTTACCTTCCCAGGCGCTTCTCTCCATTATGATAGTCAACAATTGCTTAAGCCCCTAGGTTTAGACTTTGCGCCTCCTCTGGTTTCTAGCACAGGCCTGAGTCCATACTTGGTGTTTTCCCAATTCCATTAGTGATTCATTCAGAATAAGCCCACGTCTTGTTTTTAAATGTTGGACTGAAAGAAAGAGACAGAAAAACCAAGAAGGAAGGGAGGGAGGGAGGATTAGAGGGAAGGAAGGAAGGAAGGAAGGAAGGAGGGAGGGAGGGAGGGAAGGAAGGAGGGAGGGAGAGAGGAAGGGAAGGGAGAGAGGAAGGAAGAAAGAAAGAAAGAAAGAAAATGGGCGGAAGGGAGGAAGGAAGGAAAGAGAAAACCCAATTTATAACTCAAAGGATGTGGTATGGTTCTTTAAAATATTCAATAATGTATCTATTCTGCATTTTCTCTTTTTCTACAATGATCATCTCTTGCTTCAGTAATAAACATTATGGGGAGAAATTACAACTGCAAAGTGTAATTTTAGAAGTTTTTAGATTACATAAGAGAGAAATGAAAGACGGAGAGAGACAGAAGGGAGCACCTATAATTACATTCAAATAAGCTAAATATACAAATGATGTGACTCCACTGCATAAGGGCAGGGATGAGTGAGGAGCTGAGAAATGGGTTAAACACTTGAGGTCATTTAAAAGATTTACAGCACAATCAGGGTAATTTTATCTCTGAAATTATGAAACATTGAGTGGATTTCAAGGCTTTGTTAGTTACGCTTTGATTTCTGTCTGCTGAGTAAGGTCTGATTTTGTGTTTGCAGGTCATCACTTTGCTTAGTTACTAAAATCACCACCCTGGTTTGTTAATACAAAGCTGAAATTTACGCTCTTGGTGCTATATACATCAAAAGTGAGCTCTTGGGAAAGTCATGAGGTTTACTAAGCGTGGTATCTGCCCCCTTTGTACCCTCTTCTCTTTATCGACCCCCTTTTTTTTACTTGTCTATGCCTGCCCTCCCTGGCTTGACACCTCTGTCCTAACCTGCCTCTACACCTCCATAAGAACTCTTCCACTTTGCTATTAGACCTATCTTTTGGGTGCAAGTGACCTAGCTCTCTGTGGTGCTAACATTTCCCCCAGAACAGCAGCATGCTTGAGAACTGCAGCCAGACTCTCTCGTGCACCTGACAACTCTCCTTGGCTTCAATGGGCACAGCCCACAGAGATGAAAGAATCTGGCCCAGCCTGTGGCTCTCAGCTTAGATAATGAGATAATAGCTCTAAGTGCCCTTTGAGGCAACTAGTTCCTACCTTCTTGTCAGTGTTCAATGAACTCCTGCTGTTTCCTATTCTCAACCTGAAACTCCCTACTCAGTTCCCAGGTAACTCTCAGGAAGTCACCTGCCTTCTAACAGACCTT